AAGCTCCTCCTGAGTGCAGTTTAGGGTTTAGAATTTTAGGCGTGAGATTTTGCAGCATGGACAATAGGATCATTTTCGCAGGGATCGTAACATAGACTGCATGTAAGACGCAGCGACGACCTGATCTCCTCAATCTAAAGTTAAGTTATTAATTACTAAGTTCGCATTGACAAGCCGTTAGTTAAAGTTAAAGCGGATTTCCATCCGAACTCGCCCTCGTTCCTTCCATCCGAACTCGCCCTCGTTCCTTCAGGCCCTCTTAGAATTGAATCCCAAACAGACCAGAATTTGTGAAGGCACGGGTAGCCACGGTTAGTTTCCAGGTCAGGCCGTTCAGGGGTAGTCCAGCAAACACGGCAACCCAAGACGAAACTACTGCCCTGAGCCCGCGGAATCACGTCTGCCCGAGGGTTCCCCGAAGAATCATTTGGGACTAGTCTGTGGCCTTTTCTCTGTTGAAATCCTTGGGAATCTATTCAGCACTAGGCTTCCGGGCAAGGGCTCAGGAGCTTCAGTGTCCGGGTCTCTGTCACTGAGGGATTTGAACGACGTTCTGCGACTAGAAGGGCATAATGGGGTTCTAAGGCGTCGTAGTTATAATTTACTGGCTTGCTCCTCAGGGATTTCTTGCTTTGCTTGGCGTGGTTTAGATAATAGGTTGAGGCTTAGCTTTGAAGTCCCTATTATTAAATAAACCCTAAACCCTACCCTATAATAAGCCCTAAGCCCTAAACCCTGGACCTTAAATTATATCTCTAAGTCTAAGCCCTGAACACTCAACATCTCTGAACCCCAATTGGCCACCAAACCTTCTCGCCGCCAGCTGTCAGGCGAGTTCTCGCCCTCGCCCGCGGAAATGCAGTCCTCGAAGGCGGGCTCTCTGACAGGGATTATTAATATCCGCCTCTTAATATCCGTCTTTGAAGGATCCCACGGCAGAGAGAGAAGTTGGGGATTTATGTGAACATGGCCTTGCCATGCCAATGACATTGCTCAAAACCCTGTGCCCAGGCCTCGGCGTCCTCGTCCGACTCAAGTTGATTGACCACTGGACTGCGGACAGGTGAATGATTTGGGCATTCTGGTTTTGGTCCGTTAGTGTGTAAGTTAAGTGACATTCCGGTTTGTGATTAGTGTGTAAGTGACGAGTCCCGCAAGCTAAACATCAAATCCTGTAATAATTTTATAAGAAATGGGCCCCGGCACATGCGTACTGCTTGATGCTAATGTCTTCAGTGTGTTGAGAACTCGTGTGTAGGGTAGTAAACGCTGGAGTTGGGTTGTGGCCATGTCGGCATTTAAGGTTATTCGAATTGCTGGATTCTCTGCATTTCAGAGGGGTAATGTATCGATTCAAGTTATTTACTCCTGGGATTTGCCTGGACAGGAGAACCCTATGTAAGAACCAACATCACTGCGGAACCAAGCCCTTAACTTGGCCCGCTTGCGATGAATGACAGGGAGTATTCCCCTTTCATTAGCCCAGTATCCTTAAGAAGCCCCTGGGTTTGGAGCACGGAACACGGACGGAAATAATTCAGTGCCCTAAGCCCTAAACCCCGCTGCCTTGCATTTGAAGCTGCAGCTTGGCAACCAGAGCCAGCCATGTCTTTCATAGACGTTCCACAAACTGTGGGAGAGCCGGAACGACAGAGACTGCGCGCACAAGGACACCACGGCTGGGCACTGTCACTGTCACAGCTGTCTCCAGTCACTGGTGGTGCGAATGGGCCGCATGGAGGCCTTATAAGAGGCTGTGAGCCAGCGCGCCAGTACATTGTCGTCAGGGTGGCAGTAGCACATCTGCCGGAAGTTCGACCAGCGCGGCTGGCTCTCATTGCGGGCACCTGCCGGGGACAGGCTTTGCCCTACAACGTTGCCGAGACTGCGGCACGATTTCAGGCGGTGCTGTACCAGTCAACAGTGGCATCCGACATCGAGATCCTGGCGCCTAGGGCTTGAACCCGATCCCTATGAAACCCATTTAATTTAAACCTAAACCCTAAACCTTGCGTAGACTTTGATGATGTAATGGATTGGATTTGGGGTCTGAGTCTAGGCATTCGTGATTCGGGTTTTCATGCCCGCCCTGCAGCTTGATTCAAAACAGCGTGTAAATTATCCGCTTAAATGTAACTTATTATTATTCGCGCGCTTACACAGCTTTCGAACCCTAAACCCTAAGCCCTAAACCCAAACCCTAAAGCCTTTGCCATTAAATGATAAGCCTGTTCGAAAGTGACAAGCTTCCCACTTCTGCCCTCGACCTCGAAGCCCCAAGCTCGCCATAGGCCCTCGACCTCGAAGCCCCAAGCTCGCCATAGGCCCTCGACCTCGAAGCCCCAAGCTCGCCATAGGCCCTCGACCTCGAAGCCCCAAGCTCGCCACAGAAACGTTCTCCCCACATCGAAGCCACAACTCAGATTACCCATGAGAGTGATTCAAGCTTTAAGGTGTAGGCTTTCCTTGCTGTCTTGAGACTTAGGCCCCTCAGTCCGGAACCTCACCCCAAATTTGCTGCTAGTCCACCTCCCAGGCCTCAAAATTTAAATTAATTCTCTACACCCCTAAACCCTAAACCCGAATGCAATTTTGGCCATGCGGCAGGAGCTTTCTGGCAGGTTCTGGCGGCTCACCCCATGCCACCAGGGGCAGGGGAAAAAATGCGTGTGAGTTTTCTGTGCGGACTACAGGTGTGCAAAAGCTACTACTGAGCACCAATGACTATGATGATAGTCATTGGTGCTCAGTAGTAGCTTTTATTTGGAAGAGTGCTTTTTGTCGTTTGTACTGCCAAGGTTTGTCCTACTGCAGCAGCAGAGTCAGCCGACGCGTACGAAAAAGAACAGTCGTGTTTGCTGCATGCTGTGTTTTTTTTGGGGGGCTTTGTAGTTCTTATCGATTCTAGCTATTGGCCCTAGAAACGCAAAAAAAGGATTTCCTTTTATCTGCCTGGCCACTAGAACACTAAGGTTATAGATCTCTTTTTGAGCCCTTTCAGGAACCCACTCAGGGACCCTGTTCTCATTATTAAGGCCGTTATAGTACTCAGGGCGCAACCCGTTCATGCAACCCGAAGATCCATAGCTCTGCAACCGAAAGTGCTATATGACCGGTCCGGGGCGAAAAGCTTTTCTGGGTAAGATGAGATGAAAATTTGCAGGACAGACCTCTGAACTCAGCTTTAGAGGGTAAGTAAGTTGTAAGTTCGATTGCGAGACCTACGAACCACGGTTTTAGGGTTGCAAGTGCTCGGGCTTATACAGGAGATTTACGATGCTGGTGCTTGTCGCCTCAAGCTTAAACCAAGGAGGCTGAGGAACTTCGGGTTTCAGGGTTCAGGAGTTTAGGGCTTAGGGTTTAGGATTTCGGGTTTAGGGGTTTAGGGGTTTAGGGGTTTAGGGTTTAGAGTTTAGGGTTTAGGTTTTGGTCTGTTAAGAACTTCCGCGCTACTGCCGTTTCATGCGTTTCCGAAACAGCATGTATTGATGAGGATCCTCCTACCTTAGCGGCTAAGGTGCCCGCGAGGATTCTTAACCTGTGTGTGCTTATGCGGCTAGTTGTAGGAACCTGACCAAGACATCCTGGGCCCATAACCCCAAAATAGTAGGAGTCATCTACCTGGTCCTATAACCCCAAAAATAGTAAGATTCATAAAAGGAACCCTAATAAAGGCCCAAGGTTTCTTAATCAGGTTCCTACATTACTCCGCAAACCAAGTCGGAATATCACAGGATCCCGAAGCCTGCTTATAGTCCTTCGGTTGATGATACAAATCCTGCATTGCCTTGAGGACCCTAAGCTATGGGAATTATGGCATATTCCTTATTATGGGTAATGCAGGATTTATATCATCAACCGTTGTAACTACCTTCAAACCGTCGAAGCCGAATTTCGAATCGAGGTGGGTACCGGGCAGGCTGTGGACTCAGAGTTCGTTGCGCGGGAAGTCGAGCCACGGGGCTCTTAGAAGCTTCGCATAAAGTAGGGCTCTTCGCCGAGTGGCTCGGGATTTTGGGGCACGAAAAGGGTGGGTCAAGCCCAAATGCGTTTATCCTTGAAGCCCCTCTTAGCTTGCAATCACTACTCTCAGCCATCAGCCCTACTTTGGTCCCTGCTTCTCAACTCCCTAAACCCTAAACTAAACCCAATACCCTAAACCCTGAAACCCCTGTACCGGCCAGCCTTGTTCATGGCTGCTGTGTGAGCGCCAATTAGCAGCTTAAACCTTAAACCCCAAACCTTAGACCCTGAAGCCTTAAAATCCCTGACTGAAGCCCTGACCCTTCCGAGTCCTTTTCGGCTTAATAGCTCTGAAGTTGTCGCTGAGCACCACTCCTTCGATCATGGCCCGGGCATTGCGCTCCTCAGCTTCAAAGGGCTTTACCCACAGGGCCCTAAGTACCTATATACTTTTAAGGGTACTCAAAAGGGATTTCAAAATTTGGAACCCGAAACTGGTAGGTTATTCAAGCTTTTGATAGGGTTTGGGTTTAGGGTTTAGGGGCCTTAGTAAGTAGAATAGGGTGTTGGGGATGTTATATGATAATTAGAATAAAGGAACCACCAAAGTAGTGTAGGTAATTACTTAAGCACCTAACTTACCCGCAGGACCCTAAGTACCTACGTGGTGGAAAGTAAGGTTTCTATAGTAGAAGTTACAAATCAGGATCGTTTGGATAAGTATCCTCCATCCAGGTACTCAGGACCTTTTAGGTAAAGGGTTGTAGACGCCTAGATGTTTACGGGAGGTCATTTGGTTTTACCAGGGCTTGTTCAATGTAGCGGTACTTAGTTTCTCCGGGGTCCCACATGAAGCGTAAACGGGTTTCCCTAAAAATCCTAAACCGTAAAGCCCTAGCCCCGAAACCCTAACCCCTGAACCGCTAAACCCCCTAAACCCTAAACCCTATTAATTACCGAATGCCTGGCAGTGCCACGAAAAGCGCTGAGGAGCGTTTCTTGGCTCCGCTGGATGCATCCTCGCCGTCGCACAGCAGGTTAGCATCCCTGAGTGGGATGAGGTTACGACGCAGGATGCAACTTTATCGCACTAGCGTTCGGGGTTTAGGGTTTAGCGGAGCAGGTACGATTTTCCGAGGTGCTGCTGCTCGGCTGGGTATGCTGCGGTTGTCCGACCGATACTGCCATGATTGCTGTCGCGAAATGTCATTGTTATCAGAGTCAGTACCAACATCATCGTCACCGTCCACATCATCCGTATCGTCGCTCAGCACTGGCATTGTGGTCAGCATAGGTGCAGCACCCTTGCTGCACAATCCTGCAGTTATTCTTGCTGTTCTTGAGCACATAGCAACGTGCAAGAGCCGAGGAGAACGTCTCTGCTGTTGAGAAGATGAATGTGCTGGAAGCTTCCTCGTGGGCTGTGCCGGAGCGTGTAGCAAGATGCCCCGTCCACCTCCCGCCGACAATTAACATTGTCGCTTGCCTGCAGCCTTGATCGAGTCTTTCTTCATAAAGGCAGATATTAATATGTTGATGTTGGTCCGATAGAAAGCCACGGAGCCCTACTGCATAAACCCTTAACCACGAAGGAAATCAGCCGCCAAGCGTATCCTGCAGCAAAAAAGCTCCTGCACCAGCAATCGTGCCGTCGGTTGAAAGGGTCTGAGGGTCTGGGATTTAGGGTTTTGGGGGCTCCGCGTGGCGTTGAGGTCGACAACACCGTGCAGATGGACACCACATTCAACGAGAGCACCATGTACAGTATCGTGGAGGGCCATCCGGCTCGTTTAGGGTTTGGGGTTTAGAGTTTGATGTCAGGCTTAGCGTCTATTTAGTGTTTGGGGACAGGCTTGTGGGTTGAGGGTTTAGTTCAGAGCTCCAGGAGCCTTTAACGCCCTGATGCATTGGCTTTGGGCACCATGGAGCCTTAAAGCTTACCTTAAGCCCAAAGAACCTACCTTTTCAAGGACTGATAGAGGGAACTTAGGATAGGGCGCACTAAACAAGATGGATGGAGTTTAGGTAGAGTCACAACCCGGAAGCCCGTTCTTAAGGTATGAATATCTTACAACAGTATCCTGCTTTAAAGCTTGTACAGCTGCACTGCACTGCACAATATCCCTACACAGGCCCCTCTACTAAACTATACTCGGCTAAGGCTTCTTTGCCCTGACCAAAAAACTCTCTGCGCTCAAATTCAAACCCACTTTCAGGGTTTCGAGTTCAGCTTTTTAATATGGGGAACTGAAAAGTCAGAGTGGGGTTACGTGCTTTCTTTTATGGTGCTTTGATGTGATTTTCTTGAGGCGTGAACAATTTCAACACACAGTCACAGGGACGACTATAGGTGAACGAAGACTATTAATAATGAGTGTTAAAACTTAAATCTAAGCCTAAATCCTACACCACACCTAATCCCTAAACCCGTGAATCCTAGTCCGGTAATCATCAGCAATCGGGATGCATGTGTGCAGGGTTTCTGGGGTTTAGGCTTTCGGGTGTGCTTAGCCGTTGGTTTCAAACGGTTTGGGTTTAGGGTTCGCTGGCTTGGGAGACCCATGTCTGCTTGAGTGGGCACTCTAGCAACCTGATCAACCAAACCGCGCATGTTTTATTGTAGGATCTTTCTTGACCCGAAGAAACCTGCCTTTTCACGGCTTCTTAGCTTGATTCCCTTCTGCAAATCCTTACAAAGCGTAGTAGACTATTTGGGGTTAAAGTGGGGTTTGTCGGTTTCAAAAAAATGAGTTTCGGTGCATAGGCTTGGGGTTCAGGGCTCCACACGGAGCTCTAAATCGGTCTGCAAGATTCCGGGGTGGCTGGAATAAGTTGGCTTACCCATAGGCCCCAAAGTAGTTCCTTTTTGGGATTACATTATAGGATTCTAAATATGGGCCCCAAGAAGGAACTACTTTGCGGCCTTTTGTTTTAATGCATATGTGTGAAAATTCGGCGGTATATCCCCCTCACAGTCTATTATGGTGCATTATGTTTGTATATCCTGCAGACGAATTATATACTGTAGTAAGCCCCGCAACACTACTGAAGCTAGCAGTTCTGCCGGGAGTAGCTTTCTTGGAGGATCGATCCACCAAGTCGGCAGTCCTGCGAAGACCTTCGACTTCGAGAAAACCTAAACCCTTACTTGGAGGATCATGGGACTCAGTAAGCAAGGTCATAAGTACCTTAATTGAGGTTATAAGTAAGCACAGGTACAATTACCTTAGATACAACCCTTGTTACTACGTCCAATGATCCGCTGAGTTGGATGCACCCATCGCTTTCAAGCCCCAGCTCTAAGTGTCGAGCGCACTACTTACACTACCCTCGAAAACTTAAACCCTTCAAGCGCAACCCTAATTTCTCAAATCTGAGAGCCAAGAGTCCATATCCCAGACTCTAGACTCTACAGTACCCAACTGTATGAACTATACCCTCGCCATTCAAGTGCTTGAAGGACCGTGGAAATTAGGGTTACCAAAAAGGTCTATGTATCGATCCGCCTATTATATCTTTCTGTAGATAACATGTACATATACTTAACACTACTTATTACGCCAATCAAAGCTACTTGTGGCCTGACTTCGCGCGATCCTCCCAGTAGCCCTAAACAAAGCCTATAGTTCCTAAACCCCTAAACCCTAAACGCCAAACCCCTAAACCCTAAAACCCTAAGCCCCTGAGCCCTTTTTAGAACCTTTATAGATCCGTTTAAGGAACCCTTATGAAACCCTTCAAAGGTACCTCTAGACCCTAAACCCTAGGAACGCTGCCTTCCGCCGCGGTCGACCACGGCCTGTCGGGCTATGACGGCTTGGAGATCGCTTTCTCCAACACAAAGGCCGACAGTTCCGGTATTTTTCGGGTTTTTTTTCGGGTTTCGGGGTACCTTTAAAGGGGATCTCTAAGGGTTCTATAAGGGTTCCTTTCAAAGGGGTTCTACAAGGGTGCTGGGAGTTTAGGGGTTAGGAGTTTGAGGTTTAGGTCGCCAAGGCCGACAGTGCCGAGATTTTCGGAGGCTTCTTGGAGTTTAGATTTGTTTAGGGTTTAGGGCTGGAGATCGCGTTCTCAAGCGCCAAGGCCGAAAGTATAGGGTTGTTTAGGTGGGTCTAGGGTTCAGGGTATGGGGCTGAAGGTGTAGACCGAAAGTTGCAAGTTTTTTAGGGTTTAGGGTTGTGAACTTTTTAGGAGGGATGCATTTGGGGTTTAAAGTTTAGGGTTCAGGGTTTATGCCGAGAGTTCCAGATTTTTTAGGGGTCAAGGCCGACAGTTCTGGAAGTTTAGGACTAGGTAGCACTTTGGGAAATTTCATATCTTTTCTTTATGGTCCTGGAGGGGTGCCTATTCATTACTAGTTACTACTTCCTTACTCTACAAACCAGAGGATTGTTTTGGGGGTGTAGGTCGAGGGTTTAAGGTTTAGGGCTAGAGTCTATAGGACGTGTGATTGAAGGATTTCTAGCACGGGTTGAATGTTCGGAGTTTGGGTTTGGGGGCTTGCGGTTCTTCGCGTATTTGCTGCCCTTGATAAAGCCTAAACCCTAAGCCCTAAATTACGGCTGCGGAGCTGGATTATCTCAGAAGTGCGGTTCCGAGGAGCCTGCCGTTGAGGAGCCGCTGGACCGTAAAAGAGAGCCCTTCTGAAAGGATTTAGGGGTTGACTTGAGGAGTCGTGCAGAGGTAAAGCTAAACAAAATGCAGTTCCAAGTTCCAACCGGACGATTGTTACGAGGACGGTCAAAGGGGCATCCCGTCCGAAGCCCCTATACATATGACGGGGGTTTAGGGTTTAGGGGGCTCAGGGTTTGGAGTTTGGGGTTTGGCTTTTGGGGGCTAGGGGTGTTTCAATGGGGTTTATGAATTCGGCGGTGCTAACAGGAGTTCAGGATTTCGGGTTTTGTGGGTGTTAAAGGGCTTTAAGGGTTCAGGATTTAGCGGTTTAGCTTGCGCTTCAGCTTGGTTCCTGAGTAGTATTAGTACCATTCTGCCCTTTTTCTTTTCTTGGTTCCTTTACTGAAACCGAATACTGGGAAAAAGTGGTACAGTTTGGTTTCGGGTTTCCGAGGCCGCGGCGGCCTTCTAAGCCCTACTTGGAGAATTGGGGTTATGGTACTTATAAGTCCCCCAAAATAACCAGTTACTAAGTCCCCCGACCCTCCAAGTAGAGTTAGACTCTCCGGTAAATCCCGAAGCCTAACCCAGGGTCCAACGACCCAAAGAGCACAGTTTTTTAGGTTCAAGATCCATACTCTAATTGGTCTTTGGACCTAGAAACCCTACTATTTTGTTACTCGGGCCCTTACAGGGTAAACTTAACTGCGAGACTCAGACCACCATCAAGACGTCAGGCAACAGAGCAGGGATCAGGAGCCCAAGACTCTTGCCAAGCCCCTAAACCCTGCTATAGGGTTGTAAAGAACTGCTCATACTATTGAGGGGGTTCCGTTTTGTTATAAGATGGTATATCGGGCCCCAACACTTAGTGTAATTTTTGAGGCCCTTATGTTAAACCCCAAACCCTGCCAAAAGCTCAAGTAACCTACCAGTTCAGGGTTCAGTATTGTGATATCCTTGTGTAAGTTCGTAAAAGAGGTAGGTTCGTTACGCTATAGTTTCCTTAGGAATTATTGTTAATTTTTGTTCATATAAAAACCCAAGAGAATATTTAAAAAAATAGGTGTATTATGGTTCTAAGGGGGGTATAGTACGGCTAAACCCTAAACCTCAACCCCGTAGAAGACTGAGCTAGCTGGCAACGGCTGGGCTGAGGATGCAAATCCTGCATTACCTTAAGGACCCTATGGGAATTATGGTCTATTCCTTATTATGGGTAATGCAGGATTTGTATCCTAAACTCTAAACCCTAATCCTCCTATAGATTCCGTTTAAAGGCACCCCTTAAAGGTACCCTTATAAATTGCCTTTAAAAGAACCCCCCTTATAGATCCCTTTGAAGGAGCCCCTTAAAGGTACCCTTGTAGAGCCCTTTTAAAGGAACCCCAGGATTGACATCATCAGCCCTAAACCCTTGATGGACCCTGATAGATCCCTTGAATTTAAGGAACCCTTAGGATCCCTTTAAAGGTTCCCCTAAACCCCTACACCCTAAGCCGTAGCGTGCTGTTTCGACAGGTCCGCCACTTCAAGGTCCGCTTGAACGACACAAGGCACCCTTGCTCAATCAATTTGGGAGTTTGGGGCTTTACAAGGGTCCTTTACAGGGATCCATAAGGATCTATAGGGTTTTATGGCGCTAAGGTTGAGGGGTTTAGGGGTTTGAGGTTGAGGTTTCAGGGTTTGGTGGGGGTCTAAGGGCTCAGGGGTTTAGAGGTGTGGAGTTTAGGGTTTGAGCCTCAGGGTCTGGGGTTTAGGGGTTCAGGGTTTCAGGGTTTGGGCTTCAGGTTAGCGTCCTTTTGGGAGTTGAGGGCTTTTGGGTGTAGATTTTGAGGTTTAGGGTTTGGGGTTTAGGGTTGAGGGTTTAGAGTCCATTTGGGAGTTTGCGGCTTGATAAGGGCCCAGTTCAGCCTGCAGGCTACACACTTGGTGACGATGATTGAAAACAGTGCAGTAGTTTCCCAGAGGGTCCATATAGACTACCATTATGGAGTTATGTAGGCCCCCAAAAAACCATAATAGGATGGTGTTTCGGGGCCAAGGGTAGTATATTCGGACCCTCTGGGTTGTCATGGGTGACAGAAGTTTGGAGACAGGAAGCACCTTCGAAACAGACATCGTCCCTCAGGCAAGACGCGCGCTTTATTGCAGCAGTTCGGGTGCTCAGCGATGGCCCTCATAACCTCTGGTTGAAGTGGAGCGACTTCCATGGTGAGGAGTTTGTCCAAGGGTAAAAGGAGGGACCCTTAATACGGACCCCTAGGTATATACCCTCATATAGCTATTATATACACATTATATAGCCCACCCTAAACCCTAAACCCTAAACCCCAAAACCCTAAACCCTAATTATAGGGCAGGGGTCGCTGCGGAGTTTGAGGGCCTGAAACTTGCTGGGAGATGGCACTACAGTCTACCTGGAAATATGCACCAGCATCAATCCTAAAGACGAAGCCCCTGAAACACTGAACCCCAAGCTGTCCTGGGGTTCAGGGCTTTGGGCTTTGAGGGGGTTTCAGGGTTGAGAGATGCATCGATAATGACGACCGGCGGCAGTAGCAGCGCTGGTCTAAGTAGCAGTGCCAAGTAGCCGATATCCCAGTGCCAGAAGAAGATACGTTTGATGATATAGATCCTGCATTACCCATAATAAGGAACATACCATAATTCCCATAGTTTAGGGTCCTTAAGGTAATGCAGATTTTTATCATCAACCGTAGGTGGTTGTACTTCGCATCGTCAAGCTCCAGAGCCCCCGGCCTCCCTTGCAGGAGCTGGTGATGCGCGGCATCCGTCCCTGTGCGGAGACAGCAACATGCTTCACCATTACACCTTCGACCATTTCGCATATTGCAATTCTGCTCCCCATCGAAGATGCAGAGGCTCCTGCGAAGTTCACTATTGAAAGGCGCGTGCGCTGGCAAGTCAGCAGGGTTCTGCGGGGGCCTTGAAGAGATCAGCACTGGCTCGTAAGGGCTTCGGTTCTGAATCGGATCTTCCTAAATCCAAACATATATATATATATACTTAAATAAACAAATATATATATATATATACTTAAATAAACAAATATATATATATATATATATATACATACACATTATATATATATATATACACACATACATATCCGGACCATGTTCTTGAAGATATGCCAGCGGCACAGCAGCGCATGCAGGTCGGTTAGAGTGCTCTGTGAGTCCCAAAGGTCACCCGAGGCCCACAATGCTCCTGCACCCCAAAGCATTCACCTCAACAGTCTTAAACATCAAACGCCAGACCTAGTTCTCTAGTATCCCTGCCAGAATGACTCTTGACGTCCTGGCTCGTGGTGGTGCGAACGACACCAACTCGGCTACTATCCGGCCATCGAGCGACGCCGAGGTGGTTTGAGTTCAGGTTTTTAGCCCTAAACCCTAAACTCTAAACCCTAAACTCTAAACCATAAACCCCACACCCTAAACCCTTATTATGGTTCTTCCGGGCTTTAGGGTCTGAAGGATTCCGTTTCAGAGCTGTTGGGTTCGGGAGTTTTCGTGTTTTCGGGTTTACGGCTTCAGGGCTTTCGGGTTTTAAGGTTTAGGAAGCCAGGAAGGTCCAGTGTTTACAGAGTACTCAAAGGATCATGGGACTTAGTAACTAGGGTTATAGTCAAGGTAACTATACTTATACTTACTTCTAACCCCAATTAAGGTACTTATAACCCTACTTACCAAGTCCCATGATCCTCGAAGTAGGGTTTGAGGGATGGGTTTGTGTGATGGATGATGGGGTTTGCTAGGTAGGTCATGCTTGATGACTGAAGTGCCATTTTGCCCTGGGGCATTCTACTTCTATGGAAAGTGTCGAAGATCGGGGATTGTAATCTAGTACTCTAAATACTACGATCCGTATCATAAGGATTCCAAAATAAGGTACCCCCTAATTTTCGGAACCTCCCATATCGCATCTTGTGAAACCTGGTGGTTCGGAGCGGGGTTTCGGGTTTGGGGTCAGAGGTTACCTTAGAATACACCTGATCCCTATACCCTGAACCCTTCTCACACCTAAACCCTAAACCCTAAACCCCTAAACCCTGAACCCTTAAACCCTAAAACCGCAATAAAACTCTAGCTGTATTTGCAGGTGGAAGAGAGCCCACGAAACGAAAAAGAACACTGAAACTCTAAACCCTCTGAACCCTCAGGGAACAGGGAGCAGTTGAGAACCGAGAACAGGAACCTGAAGCTTCCGCCCTACAACTACAACTATGGTAGTTCTGTGAAGTACTTGGAGGATCATGGGACTTAGTAGGTAGGGTTATAAGTACCTTAATTGGGGTTATAAGTAATCCTAAGTATAGTTACCCTAATTATAACCCTAGTTACTAAGTCCCACATTGTCGGATCCCCGGAAAGCGCTTGCAGCAGTAGCTCATTAGAAGCACGGTGCGAGATTAATTGTAGGTTTGTGGTTTGAGTGTTCGGTCGAAAGAATCAGAGCCGGCATTCACGATTCGGATTCTTTGTCCGCTTTTTTCTGGGCTGTGATGGCCGGCATAGCTTTTTTCTGGTTGTGATGGCCGGCATAGCTCAAATGGTGTGTGGTTGAGGGTTCCACGCCAGTCGCGTCCGAAAAAGCTACAGGTTTTTGGATGCTCTGCACTAGGTTTTAATGGTCTTTTCCGTGGGAGGCTGGCAGAGATCTCCAAACCTGTGTCGCAGTAGAAACTCGAATAAAGAGCATTCTACACTGCAACAAGCCTGAATCCTATTTGCACCTAAGCCCTGGCACTTTGCACTCCCTAGCTGGTTTCAACTGTTCATCGGCAGGAAATTCGTTTCGAAACGACGACGATTGCTGCCCGGCTGCTTTCTTAGGCTCCTGTTGCGGAACGTAGCTCCAGTTGCCATGGTGACTGTTTCACGCATCTTCTTTCAGATTGGGGTTTCGGGGTCTGGTTTGGCACATGGGTGGTTGTCACAATTATGGTCCCTTTTTGGGTCTATAAAACTACGGCAAGATAGCCCAAAAGCCTTATCTGGTACGGTCTTCGGGCTAAAAGCCTTAACATATGAGTCCTTAGATCCCTAGGGTATTTTCTAGGGTAGCCCAAAAGGGGGCCATAATTTTGACAACTACCCACATAGGTTTTCGGCCTACCGTCCAGGCATATGGGTGGTTGTCAAAATCAAGTTCCCTTTTCGGGGTACCCTAAAAATTCGGTGCCGTACTATATTAGGGACCCAAAAGGGACCCTAATTCAGACAAACACACATATGAGCTTTCGGGTGAAGGCGGCAACTCTAGCCTTAGAGTTTGCCTTAACCCTGAATGACCGACCTTTTTAGGGTTCCTTATTATGACTTCTTTCTATGAGTCCTTAAAAATGTAGGTTCTTCGGGGGTGGGGTTTGGGTTCAGTCAGGGTTTGGCTTGCTGGAATTTAGCGTCGAGTACCTTGGGATTCTGTTTGCGATTGCTTTGGAGTTTGCTGTCTCTCTCTGGACTTGTGCATTATCTGTAAGAGCTCGTTGTTTTTTGAATGTGCTCCAGTTCCAGGATTCGGGCTTGACTGTGCGCAGCTGTCAACACAATTCAAGCACATTGTAACATAGTCGAACCATTGATATGGGGAAGCCAAGGCTAAGGAGCCAAGGGTGATGATGATCCCCATCAAATAATAAAGAGCGAAAGAGCCGAGGGAACCCCAAAAACTACTGGTTAGTAATCCTTAAGGCCCCTAACCCTAGGGATTAAAATAGCCCAAGGGCCTCATATTATATAGTATGGCCTGTAGGTCCAAAAGCCTTAACATATATGAGTCCTTGGAGCCCTAGGGTAAGCCCCTAGAGTAGCGCTTGTGATAGATAGGAGAAACAGGGCCCTCTTTGTACCCTCGAATAGTGGTATACGGTATACGATTCAATAAGTATAATAGAGGGCAGGTGGAGGGTCTAAAAACTGCAAGCGAGACCCCGACAATTGACCGCATCTTGAAAGACAACCAACACAAGCCGAACCTCTAGTCCCTCAACACTTGGGTTTAAAGAACACCAGGGACAAAGCCCACCCACATTACCAGAGGTTCGGAAGAAACAGAGACTGCATGGTACAGCAGATACAGATGAGCAAGAAAGAGCGAAGAGGCCTTCATTGCCACTGTCATCGACCAAATGGAAGTTGCCACAGAAGTAGCTGAAGTATTGCAGCAGCAGCAGCAACAGCACTGGTGGTTGGGGATGTGTCGCGGAGCTTGCGGCTTTAAGGTACCAGACTTCTGACCGTCCTTTCTGTCGACATGTCGATTGCGGGTCCGAGGGGGGCGTTTGTTCTGGTCGTCGTCAAAGTTGTTCGTCTTGTTTTCCACGGCTTGCGGGTTGCATCGAATGTCTCCTTGCCTGCAACCGAGGCAGGATCTAAACCTTAAACCCTACAAACGCTAAACCCTAAAGCTCAAACCCTAAGCCTTAAACCCTACAAACCGTAAACCCTGAACCTTAAACCCTAACCGAGGCAGGATCAAACCAGATGATGGTCAGCTCGGCCTTTGGTGGAAAATTGGCCCTGGGTGCAGTCCTCACAACACTTGGCCTTGCTTTCTGGTGAGGTCGCTTGGCCAGGCTGTAGTTGAATTTCTGGCTTGGCGAAAGGTCCCAAGGCGGAGAGACCGGCGGCAGCTGATAAAGCTGTGGACTGTAAACCTTTCTAGACCCCACAGAACAACAATGCCCCGCACCCTCACTAAACTCTACCCCCCCACCCCCCCAACTTTCAACCCTACAAGGTTGAAATAACCTTGGGCCCCCATAGCCGAAAACCCTTTAGCCGAAAAACCCTTTAACCCTGCCTAGCAGCACCCTAAACCCTTGCGCCAGCAGCCTGAACCCTAAAGCTCTGAAACCCCAAACCCCCAACGACGTCGGCTTCCCGATGCTGGACCATCAATGCGACAACTACCGAGTTGTGCAGCCAGAGGCTGGCTTTGCAAGCTGTTTGAGCTTGGTCTTACCCACTCTGATAGTCTAGTCTAGCCTAGTCTCGTCTGGATAATTATTAGATTTCACAATATGAGACGGTAAAGCACTGCATGTCATAATATAACTGAATACAACCGTGACATAGCACATGAAGAGCAGAATCATACCAGTTTACATATGCTGGGCCAGTATCATATAGCGTATATACAACGGTTCAAACACATCATAGAATGCAGTACACAATAACACAATGCATCATAATGGAAGGTAGTACGACACAATAGAAATACAATCTATATGACACTACAGACTCAAAATACAGCAAAGCACAATGTAATACCAAACACCCAGAATATCATATGTCGCAATAAAATACAACATAGCCTATTGTTATACAATACAACATTATGCCATATCACATAATATCAAAGACTGCACAGAATATGTCAATATGTAACGTGTGAATTACAACCTATAACACAAACCAGCAGAGTATATGCAACATGGTATGTGGTATACACGGCAAAGTTTATAATGTTCAACATGATATGTTAAATGGTAAAAGCATACATGCATAAAGACACACGCATACACATACATACATACATACATACATACATACATATTTGCATCCTCATACTTACGTACATACTTGCATACATACGTACGTACAGACACATATACACAGATGTAAATAGAGAAACAAAAGTCTGTATATGTATATATGTATGTCTACCTACAAGATGAAAGGAAAAGTCTAACAGCTAAGGTGCTGTTACATGGTCGGTGTATAGGACATTGATTATACGGCATATATTTGCTCTGCAGTAAATACAGCACAAGCACGAGAACCACCTTTAGCTCCTCATCGCCGCATAAGTTGCTTAAAACGGTTAAGCCTTCGACAGCCCTAGAAACTCTATTCCGCACACCCCTAACCCTCTACTCAATACCAGCCCGAGGAGCCCCCTTGTCATGGAAGTCCACAGTGGCAAAGCCACATGGTGGGCCCATGAGATTTTCTCTTCGCTCTCCCTGTACCAGGGAGTTTTATTTTCGGAGCTCCGGATGTTCGGTGCGAGGCAATACCCTGGCTGAGCAGGCTAGAGAGAGAAAATACCGGTGAGCTTGTGTTCATGACCATGACCATGAGGCCCCGTGGGGGTGCAGAGGTCTTGGACGAGTAGTTTTGTGCAGATCAACAGTGAAATCAACACCTGACATTCGCCATCGCTGAACCCGAAGTCCTGCCTACTGCACAGAGCATCAACCTGTGTGGAAAGCGCATCAAAGGCAGAACCTTTCGTCCACACCTACTGCCTCATTGCATGCTGACTTTGGCTGTGAATCGACTATTCCTCTCAGGTCTTGGCTTTGCTGAGGCTGTTTTGCAAAGCCTTTTGAAAGGGGCAGGGTTTGGCATTTTATCTTGGGGATCCTCGCATGGGCATCTTGCCCGGTCCTTCTCTTGGGTTTCATACGCCCGCTGAACTGCACATGGGTAGTTCTCTAAATTAGGGCCCCCTTTGGACCTACACGAGACCCTAATTTAGCGAATTACCCACATCCGAAACGCCTTCACACCCTTAGCAGAGACTCTACCGCCCTGGGACGAAGCCAACTCTGAACCATCGGCGAGTTCTTTCAGGACCGGTGGGTCTACTGCTCCAAAGAGGCGGGCTGAACCGAGTCTCATTCAAGAGTAGAGGGAAAGTTGAACTGTGGCTTCGGTGGTTGTTGGCAATCCCTATGCTTGGCATTACAAGGTTCTGCGGATACTCTTCCTATTTTCTAGTTTCCTTTTTTGGAGGATTGTCGTTAGCGGGTTCCTCTATTTCCTTAAGGCTCAGTCGCTGAGATTTTAGGGAAGTTTCCGAAAATTAGGGTGCCTTATTTAGTGTCCTTATAATAAGGATCCCACTATTTAGGGTACTATATTAGCATCATCTATTTTCGGAAACTCCCATACGAGCCATAAGCTTGTCGTGATGGCCCCCCAAATGTCAGGTTTTGGTGGCTGCTGGGCCAAGATGTGTGTCGGGCTTGGACCCTAAGTTGTCGTAGTCTGCAATGTAATCTTTGCTTTTGGTTACTGTAGTAGTCCGCTGATTAATTATCCCCCTCTCCTGGGGCCTTAAGGCTACAGGCTCTACTTCAACCCAAAAACATACTTAGCAAGCGTCCTGCAGCAAAGCACCACGGTGACACAAAATAAATGATACTGTAACCAAGCCTCAAGCCTTAAACTTCTAACTGCTATACACCATACCTTAACCTAGGGTCCCTATAAATTTCATATTAGGGTTTATAATAAGAACCTACACAAAAGTAGGGTTTGGTAGGTTAAGGTATAGAACCCTTCCACGCAAAACTTCAAGACGAGCTCTGTGACTGCGCCTGTGGCCCCGTAGTGTGCTTTCCGTTCATTCAGGGGTCTTCAGGGTTCGGTGCGTGCTATAGGGTTCATTTCCAGAAGAAACTTAGCTACAAGCCCGAGCTAGTCTTTCGTGTTTGTGTGCTACGGCTACATGGAATAGTCCGCAAGTATGCATGGGATCGGGCTTGAGGAGGCATGAGTGAGTTTTGTTTTCGTTGTGTTTTCTGGGCTGGAGGGCCTATAGATCTTCCTGCCCCGAAGACGAGGAGTTTGCCGCGGAATTTATTTAGCGCCGGCTTGGAGTAGAGCTTGGAGAAGAAGAGCTTGGCCGGAAGAACACGGACGGTCTGTACTTGCGCATCAGCTGCCGAGTTACTACTACACGATGTGGTGGCTCAAGCAAATTTAGTCACGGAAACCCAGAGCCAGAGACCCCTTTTCCCCTGAGTTTAAGGAATATTCCTTCAATCGCATTAGGGATCCTCTGATAATTTAAGGTATATTCCTTAGATAAGAGATTTTGGAGTCTCCGGACTTCTGCAGCGGGGCAGACAGGCCTTCGTTCTGCTGCCCTGTCAGTTCAAGAGCGGCACCGACACCTGCTCCTGCGGCAGTCCCTAAGGGTCCATGTACCCAAATGGTATATGCATTGGCCTTAAAGTACTCCCTATATGGGTCCTTGAGGGCTTAAGTTTATACTATTCGGGTACATGAACCCCTAAACCCTAAACCTTTATGGTACCCTTAATAGAACCCTTATGGACTCTTAAAGAACCTTTAAGGGAACCCCATTTGGGCACATGGACCCTTAGGGAATGCGTCGAAGTCCCCTTGGACGGATGGATCTCAGAGTGTGAGTTGCGCGGCTCGTTCGCTAAAACGCGCGAGCTCTAATCCAGAGAGCCCAATACCCCTGAATGAAGGAATATAGCTTAAATCATGATGTGAAGCCCTATATAATTTAAGCCATATTCCTTAATTGAGGGGTCTTGGCCTCTCTGGGAAATTCCTAAAATGAAGCCTACAGCTGCAGCCTCAGACCGAGGACAACAAATTCAAATCCCAAAAGCCTGGACGCCCTTAACGCCTAAATGGGAGTTTCCAAAAGTTGGGGGTACCTTATTTGGGGGTCCTTATAATAAGGATCCTACTATTTCGGATGCTATATTAGGGTCCCCTATTTGCGGAAACACCTAAATCTCCCCTGACACCCGAAAGCTTTGAAACCCTAGGTTTTAGGGTTCAGGGTCTAGGTTTTAGGGTTTTGGGTTTAGGGTTTAGGGCCCTCGCTTTGAGGGTATCAGGCCCCCAAGCCAGTGCCAGGCCTCTCTTATACTTGGACCCTATAAGAAACCTCCCATTTTCGTACAATGTCCTTACATAAGTTCTTAAAGAAAAAAGGTAGGTTATCTGGCATTTTATAGGGTTTAAGGTAGTACTTCGGCCGCCCTGGAGAGTGTTCGCGACTTGTGCCGAGCGGCTAGGGTTTGGGAGGATAGGGGTTTCGGACTTCTATGAGGGCAAGTCTAGCAGTTCTATCATATACACATGGGCTTAGGTTTAAAGTTCGGCTTTCCGGCATCAGAGCAGGATGGGAGTGACCGCGGATGGTTGCCTCTCTCCCACCTGGTGCCAAAAAGCGCCGAAAAGACTGAGCCACAGGACAAGCTGGAGGCAGAAGCGTAGGTTGACTAGTGCTTGCCCCGGCAATGCTCCGCATTTTCAATGACAAAGCCTGACAGAGCAGGATACCATGTCTTACCGAGTCCAGGTGATCACGTTCAACAGCCCTACTTGGAGGTTCATGGGAAGTTGTAAGCTTGGCAATAAGTAGAGTGAGCAAAATTACATATCAGCGGACTAATACTTCCACTGATAACTACCCATGAACGCCCAAGTCTTCCACGTACATCCTGAACCTTTAAGCCCTAAACCCCTTCAACAAAGCTTCCACGGAGGAAATCACCAAGGAAGTGCTAAGCCTCAAATCCAAGAATCTCAGCGGAATCCCCCAGTAGTGCAGGTTTAGCTTTCCCATTTTGTGGTATCTTTAGTGTCATTGTTCTTGGCCGCTTCGCGAGAGCTGGAGTTTTGTTCAACCTCGCGGGGGATCAGGTACTCTGAATCGAAATCCCTAAACCTAGAATCCCTGAATCCCAAATCCCCCCAAAGCCAAACCCTAAACCCCTATCATTCTTGAACCTCCCCCCAAAGCAGGGCTAAAGATCCTGGATCAGAGACGGCGTCAATGCCTTCGACCCCCAGCTCGAAGACAAGCTGACGGATGGCGGCCGCCGCCGCGTCGGGACGGTTCTGTGCAGGGGAAGCCCGCATCCTAATGCGTTCGCGCAGCTGAACGGTAGCAATGCCGACTACAAGCTGGCCGCCTTTCGCCACCTTTGTGCGGCTTTTCCCGCTGCGCACGTGGTGATGCCTTGTCCGGCACATTACACTGCCAGGTGCATTGCCGCTGCGCATCCCAGAGGTGGATGGCGTGTCGTATACGCCCATGGCCTCCGAGGAGGCGGGCTGGCATCGTCTGTGCGGTGAAGCCGACGTATGTGCATTGAGCACCTGGCCGGCGTTAGTGGATCCTAGCACCGGCGACGAGCACTATCACATTCATCAGCTATAATTATGACTGTGAGACTTCGGTCCGGCCTCAAGGAGACGCGGCCGAAGAGCCGCTCATAATTTTTTTAGGTGAGTACGCGGCCACATTGGCTTACACCACTTTGCTCGCTGCGGCGACGACACTTTGAAGTCGCGCAACATACAGTGAGGCCGCTTCGCCAGCAAAAAAGGGGGTTGTGTGCCGATTCTGTGCCAAGGGCAGCTTTGCATGCATGGGATGTGATCGATTGCTGTCGGTGCCGTAGCTTTTTTCTGGCTCTCCTAGCGCCGCCGCCGCTCGCGCCATGCTGCTGACTCACAGGCCTCAGGTATAGGGCAGCCGCGGTGGATGAATCTGCTTCCTCGATGGCGAAACACATACGGTTCAGGTTCCAAGCCAAACGCGAGTCGATGCCGTTCAGATGCAGATTCTCGATATCACGGCAGGTCAAGCCGATCTGCCGCGTTGCGACCGTGGCGAAGAAATTCGCCAAGGCAAAGTGGGGACGAGGCCGCGAACCGACACAGACCGGGTCCTCACTGCTGCTGTGGCTGTTGCTGCGGCACGGCGCCAAACTGCACCTAGCAAGCCCTCGCATTCGGTTGCTAGTCAGGGGCGCTGACTGGACGTTGCTGTCTAACACAGCAGATTTGGGTTGCTAATTGGAGGCGCTGATAGGCATGATGCCTGCCACTGGGCCATGCCACAGGCATATATGCCGGGGTCCAAGAACTTTTTACTCCTGATGCTGCGGGCTTTGGTCTCCGGCTTGCTCGCCGACACTGGATACTTTGGCTTTGCTCTGGTCTGAGGCTCCATCAGCTGTGGCCCCGACCGTCCCGACGGAAGCCCATGTTACTTGACGGTGTCATGCATACCCTTGGCTTTGCTCTGGTCTGAGGCTCCTTCAGCTGTGGCCCCGACCGTCCCGACGGAGGCCCATGTTACTCGACGGTGTCGTGCTGCTCCGGCCTGGATTGGTGAAGCCTTGCATGGCTCGGCGAGGCTAGTGCTGCAGTGGCACCGGACAGTTTGGTCGGAGGCGGGGTTGCATCTCCTTTTCTTTTCAGTTGGTGTTATGTACTCCAGTCACTGCGACGACGCTCATGTGCATCCAATGGACATTGCTTCTCATCGTTGACTCTAGTGCTCCTAAAGCACGCGCAAGGAGCTTCCGCGGAGCCATCCGAGCTTGGCGCTCGACGCCCGACTGCTCTGGGCCTTCGAGGTCGCTTGGGGCCTCAAGCTCAACGACGTGGCGTCTTCTTGCCTTGGGTCGGCGCACCGCCGGGCCGGGGAGCACGACGTCACCTACGGCATTTGGCGTCAGAAGGCGGAACGAATGTGGCTGGGGTCCCAGCTGTTGAAGTATTTCGCATCCCACTCTGGCTTGCAGGTGCTGCTGGACCGGAACCACTTCAGCGAGCTTGCTGTCACGTCCTTGCCGTGCTCCAAGATGCCGTTGGGGCTGCAAGAGACGATCCAGACAGCAGGATGCGCGCCGCCGGCGCTCGCGGGCCGCTGACGGGCGCACTTATGGCAGCTGCGGCGGCCCTCTGGCACTGCCGCGCCCGGCTGGCTCTGGAAGCCCACTACCGGGCGGAGTCGGCATGATTGCATTTTTAACGAGATGAGAAAAGGGCAGCGCTTGCGCTGCACATGGCATTTTGCTGCATCTCCCTAAAGATCCCTTGAAGGAGCCCACCGGTAGCTCTCTGAGGGGGTGTGCAAGATCTGTCAGAGCTTTGGCACCTTTTTAGTTGACAAAGTTACCCATATAGGCCCCATAGTAGTTCCTTTTTTAGGTTCATATGTAGAATCCTATAAGGTAATCCCAAAAAAGAACTACTATGGGGCCTATGGGTAGTCGCAAGATAGCTATGTTTAGATTTATTATCCCACCTTGACCCTCCATTTATCCTGTGAAGTAGCCATTGTTTCGGGACCATGCAGCCCGGTTTAGGGTACAAGGAGGGTCCTGACAGCTGTGGCAGCATCTATGGTAATAGAAGCCTACTTACCAGCCAGGAGCCGGGAAAGTTGCGATTTCGCATGTAGCAGCCGGGACAAGCAGAATGATGAATGCAGCTGCGTTGAGTTCTGCTCCGTGGCGTTGCCTTCTTAGCGCCAAAACACTTATATAGTAGAAGCCTCTAAACACAATAAAAGGCTAAAGATGTACGAGCCTTCATTGAGCAAAAAACACCACGCTCACGCAACCCTACAAGCAGACGCAGTGAGCGCCTCTCCCCCGAGTGGCCACTCGTAGCAAGGGGGCCTTAAATGACGAGAAGAGGGTGTTTTGGGTGTAGCGACCGTGCAGTGGAGTACGAGTACAACAAAGCAGCCGAAGGAATTACATTGGTTATCGATTTGTTTGGGGTGCTTTAAGAGCTTGTGGCAAAAGAGTTTGATCGTTGTTCTTGTGGTGTCAGTGTTTACATAATTTTAATGTAACCCTAAGCCTAAACCCTAAGACCCCTACGGCGTAAACGTAATTAACCCAGCAGGGGAACCCTTGCTGAGGTGCTAGAATCCCTATGTAATTCCAAAGGTTAACCGTCAGTTCACTTAGGTACTGGATATGTAGGAAGCTTGAGCGCAGCTCAGCCGCCTGAATTCAGGTTTTGCGTCGAAGAGCAGGGCAGCACCTCGCGAACGCTTACACCTTGATAGAACCCTTACAGAAACCCAAACTGTAAACTCCAAATCCAACCTCAGCCGAAAAACCCACATCCTAAAGCCTAAACCTTCCTGCTTTGAGCTTGAAGGGTCTTCTGGGTGCAATACGTATGTACCAACATGATTCCTGCGACTTCCTTGTTATGTAGCACCAAAACCGGCTCTAATTCTGAAGGGTTCAGAGTTTGGGGTTTAGGGTCGTTCAGGAACATGTTGGATGAAACTACTGGCCTGCAGTGTAAATTTAGTAAGCTAAGATGTTGCAAACCGCGCGAGTTACGCGACATGTATGGGTTTCGGGGGTAAATGAACACCCGAGAGCTCCCAAGCATTCAACAAGTAGTATAGTGGCCTCAATGATTAAAATTGGGTTTGTCGGTACAGGAACCCCCAAAACCCTATTCTAATCATTAAAGCAACTAGAATGGGGCTTGGGATTATGTTGCACCATAGCTATGATCAGGAACTCACAAAAGCCCTATTCTAATCATTAAAGCCCCTACACTAGATGGGTTGGTCCAATACTGTCGGACCTAAGAACTTGGGGGTGGGGCTTGCCTTGATAGCTGAGTGGATACACAACACTTTTTTGGGGATAATATTAGCCGCTATAGAACTGAAAGTGTGCACTTTTTGGGGGCTTATGAACTCAGCAACTAAGTTGCGCCAGGGGTGCAGGGTATTGGCGGTTTTGGAGCTGGGGTGTAGGAGTCAAACCCGAAACGCTGAAACCTTGAGGGTTGAGGGGGCTTGCGAGTTTAGAGCTTTTGGGCTTAGGGCTTTCAGGTGCAAGGGTGTATGAGTCCAAGGTTCTACGGTTGATGATATAAATCCTGCATTACCCATAACAAGGAATATACCATAATTCCCGTAGTCTAGGATCATTAAGGTGATGCAGGATTTATATCATCAACCGTACTTCGAGGCGACAGGTCTTTTCACTTGGAATGTTTACCCGGGATCTCCCAGAGCCCCTATGCTCATTTGCACAACCCATCTGACCAATGGTACTTGCTAAGTCAAGCGTTCTCACAGGATCTACTGTAGGGCCCTCATTACTACCTATACTATTTTGGAAGTTCCTTATTATAAGCGTAGCATAGTGGGGCCCAGAACCCCAGTCTAATTATTAAGGCCCCTATTTGACCGGGTTTGACACTTTATGGATTACCTCAACGCCGCCAAACCCTATCATGTTAAGGAAGTGTAAAAAGACCTTATAATGAGGATGTCTGAAGATGTAAGATCTTCAGGATTAGGGTAGGCTCTAAAGGGGTATCGAGTGTAGGGTTCAGAAAATCGGAGTTGAGGGTTAATTGCTGAGGGGCTGCAAGGCGCAGGGTTTAGTGTTTAGGGTTTAGGCGTTTAGGGTTTAGGGGTTTAGGGTTTAGGGGTTTAGGGTTTAGGGGTATAGGGTTTAGGAGATTGCTGATGCAAGTTGTTGTGATCTTTAGGGTTTTTAGATCATACTCCAAAACCTTGTTCTGATTCCTACGGCCTCGGTATATTAGGGCTGAATATAGGGGCCGAAATAATTACCGATACTATTTTGGGGTTCCTTATCATAAGTATAGTATAATGGGCCCCAAAACCCTATTCTAATTATTAAGGCCCACATTAGGCCCTCAGACGAAAGCTGCGGGTTCAGAGGCTGCCCTGCTTCCCAAAGCCTTGGTCAAAGGCATCATAAAACCTCACAAGTGCTCGCTGGGTGACTATCCCTAAACTTACCTTTGGTTAGTAGGGAGTGGAAGAATGGTAGTAATAGTAGTTATATTTGTACCCCATTCCTCCATTCCCTACTAACCAAAGGTAAATAAACCCACAAATGACCGACTCTTTAAAAGGGCATATACCAGGAAAGCATGTTAAGGAGCCAAAAAACATAGGTTTCGCAGGGTCCAGTTGGCGCCTACTGAGACCTGCTGTGCGGATGTGGTGGCTTTGTTGAGTATGCCTTGGGTTGTTACGGGTTTGGAGGACTTTACTATCGAAGCCCCAATACCAAGTCTGAATAATTGCTCATCCTGTCCCCACGGTTGGGACCCCCCTCTCGAAAACAACAGAATGGCTCGGCCTTCGGCCACACAATTGAAATCAATTTTGCCTTATCAGGGACGGGGAAGTTAGGCGTACTAGTTTCTAGAGGACCAGTACAACTACTAACTATTGCACCAGCACTACCACTTCCACTACCATTACCACTACCACTAACATTGCCAATACCG